AGGCTAATTCTGGCACCTGGACTAGCCCATTTCTAATGATGTGTGTAAGCACCCCAAGGTGCGTTTACCGGGAAGATTCTAGCCTAAGTCCATCGTGGGTTGGAGTTGCCTGGGAGAGCTGAGCATGGCGTCTCTGCTCCAGCAGAGCTGTTGGGTCTCTCCGGAAGCAGAGCAGAGTCTGACCTCACTTCCTCTTCCGCCCAGAATTCTATTCTGTTTCCTCCTCCCATCTATGCTCTAAGCTAAGCCAAGCAGTTTCTTTATTGCTCAGCCAATGAAATCAACAGATTGATATATGACACTCCCACATCAGGTAATTTTAGAAGATTATGATAGTTTTTCTGCCTTTTCTCAGCATGAACACAAATGGTATTTGCAAATAAAAAAGTTAAAGCTCGTCTGATAACTAGATTGATAAATTATGAAACAGTACTAAAGGTTTAGTTCTTTTGTTCACTTAAACTCTACTTAGAACTATTTAGTGGAATGAGTGGTTCAGAGTATTAGATTCAAAACTTCATTTTAAATCAGTTGAGTTGAATAAGCTTCCAGGAATCAGCTTATCACTGAGAGAAGTCAGGACAAACACCCAAGGCAAGAATCTGGAAGCAGAGAACCATGGAGGAAAACTTCTTTTCTCATACATCCATGTCTACTTACCCAGGGATGGAAATGCCCATAGGTGACTGGGTCTTCCTTCAGCAGTTATAAGTTAAGAAATCACCCAAAAAAACATTACTACTGACGATTCTGAGTGAGGCAATTTCCCACTTGAGATGCCCTCATATAACTCTAGGCTAAGTCAATTGGACAGCTGAAGCTAAGTGGGCAACCATGTCCCATAGGGGAAACAGGCTGCATAGCACTTGAGGGAACATTCCAGATCCAAAAGATGACAACTGGGTGAGAAAGTGGGCAGGGCTTGAAAAGAGTCAAATCAGCCTGACATTCTGTTTCTGGGTGGCTTGGCAAAGAACAGGATTGATCTCACTTTGTTTTGTCTCTATATCCTTTACAATGTGTATTTAGGTAAGTTTTAAAGTACGTGGAAGGCTCACAAATCATTATCTCTAAGCAGTATAAATTCTTCTATTCTGCCACATGAATGCTTCAATGGAATCATTTGATTTTACTCATTTCTGTAATTTGATTTAGTAGAAATATTTTGATGATTACTGGTGTTGAGTCAAAGAATCACAGGAAAAGCAAATTCATAAGTAATTGGGCAAAAGCTTAGTTTATCTAAAAAAAAAAAACCATTTCTCTTGGATTTTGTGCGTATGATTTTTTTCTCCCCTAGTTCCAGCTTCCTCAGTCGCTTTCACACCTCTGATCTCACATTTCTCCATGGACTCCTGGTCTGTTGATGCCCCCATGTATCTCTTCCTCATGATATGATATGCTGTTTTCCCTGAAGTGTTTGTTGACCTACCCCATTGTGATGGCTGTTCTTGGTTTTCACCATGACTGTACCTGGATGGAGCTACAATCCAGAAATGGAGAATACACTTGTGATCTGGATCTTAATGCAAGAAGACAACATGCCTTTAATCCAGATTTTGAGGCCAGAAGGCACACCTTTAATCTGTGCCCCACCTTCTGCTGGAAGTCTATATAAGGACAGTGGAAAAAGGAAAGATTCATTCATTCTTCACCTGCTTGCCCTTGGCTTGTCAATACACCCATTCCTTCACTGGCAATGGAACCTGCTTCTTCAGGATTCCAGTATACACAGATCAGCTGAGACACACAGCCTTGTGTGACTGAGCAACTAGTAGATTCTTGGACTTTCTTTTTTTTTTGCTCTTCTAAGTAAGTGGACTTTCTCTTAATATACCCAAACATTTTTGGATTGCCGCCTGTAAATCATTTCAATAAATTTCCATAAATATTTACATATATTTATATGAAATGACTACATATATATGTATGACAGAGAGAGACAGAGACAGAGAGGGACAGAGACAGAGAGATTCATTCCATAAGCTCTGTGACTCTAGAGAAGCCTGACTAATCCAGGTCAAAATGGTATTTCAGCTTAATTCTCAAGCAGCACCCTTTTATTTCATATCAGCTCTCTAATCCTACAAACCATCAAACTAGATTAATACTTTTATTATTCAGTTCCAACGACATTTTCTTCTTTTAAATTGTGATGATTTTTTATTTTCTCATTGAATAAATAAGCAGTCTCCAAATTCTTTAATCATCCTCTATACTGCAAACCAGTATTCACCAGGATTTACCCATTGTAACAGTGATGCATCCAGAAAACAAGGAGTTGCCATGTATTTGTTTAAAGATCATTCCCTGAATTCTTTTCATCCTACTTGTATTGCCGATTCTACAAAAATGTTCTAGATTAATTAAGACTTTTTATTTATATGTATTTATTTGTCTTCTTTTTATTGATCTGTATTCCATCAAACCTTCATGACTGCATCTCAAAGCCCTTATACTGGTATGTAGATCTATATAAGTTCAGCTATCTCTTTACTGAGCTTTGAAATACTTTGTATCTTTCCCAGGATCATGCAGTCTATTAAATTCAGTAAGGTGTTTGCATATTCATGAAAACTTCTTTCACAGGTCCAACTAAAACGCCTCATTTTTTTTCTTTTCTTTTCTTTTCTTTTCTTTTTTTTTTTTTTGTCCTTTTGGTGTCCCCTTCTGCCCCCTAGACAAATGCATATGATTCTCAGCAGAATGTAATTTGAGCCAGAGTTGAAACACACTTCAGGTGTCAAATTCTGTGTCACTGTTTCTCATTTGTTCTCATCTGAATCTGAGAGAGCTACAGGCTCACGATGCAGAAGAGGGAGAGAAGCAGAGGCTCTGAAAGAACAGATGAGCTCTGCCTTCCCTGCTGTGTGACCTTAATGAGTGGTGGAAGATGGGAGGGTGTGAAGGAACTCGAGATTGAGAGGAAGTGTCAGAGCTGCAGTGACCTGAACATGTGGAATCTGTCTGACATGGTGCTAAGTGGGGGCATGGTTGAGGACTGTTATTGGAGAAATACAAGTCATTTCATACTTGTGTCCTAACAGGGGTTTTACAATGTTTAAAATTTATGAGACTTAAGGAGACTATACTTGTACAGTGCTTACCTTGTTTATATTACACTGAAAAATTGCTTGTAGAGCACAGTTATTTTTATTTTTTCCTTTCAAAAATTTACACTTCCTCCCCTCCTCCCATTCTCCTCCCGCTCCCCCACTCATCCTCTCCCCTCCCCCTCCCTCCTTAAGAGAACTCTGCCCTGTGTGAAGTCCAAGGCCCCCCCTCCCCAACATCCAGGCCTAGGAAGCTTTGCATCCAAATAGACTAGGGTCCCCAAAAGCCAGTACATGCAGTAGAAACAAGTCCCAGTGCCTTTATCAATGGCTTCTCAGTCAGCCCCCATTGTCAGCCACATTCAGAGAGTCTGGTTTGAGTGCATGCTCATTCAGTCCCGGTCCAGCTGGATTTAATGAGCTCCCATTAGAACAGGCACACTGTCTCAGTGGGTGGACCAACCCCTCGCGGTCCTGACTTCCTTGCTCTTCTTTTTCCTCCTTCTGCTCTTCAATTGGACCTTGGGAGCTCAGTCCGTTGCTCTGATGAGTGTCTCTTTCTCTATCTCCATCCATCACTGGACGAAGGTTCTATGGTGATATTCGAGATAATCATCAGTGTGTTAGTGGGGCAAGGCCAGTTCAGGCACCCTCTCCTTTTCTGCCAAGGATGTAGCTGGCGACATCCCCGTGGACACCTGGGATCCCCTCAAGAGCCAAGTCTCTTGTCAACCTTAAAATGGCTCCCTTAATGCAGATATCTTCTTCCTGGCTCCTATATCCGTAGCGAGCAGTTTATCTATTTATTTATTTATTTATTTATTTATTTATTTATTTTTATTTTAAGCCTATCCTCAAATTTCTATCTTCTTTTAAAAACGAATTTACTGATTATCAGTGATATTTTGTTTTGGTTCTAAGTTCACCGTCTTGACTTACCCCTTCTATAGTGTGAGGCAATCATCTTATTGGCAAACCACATCACTAAATTTGTAAAGTTTTCACAGAAATATCCCAATACCATGAATCAATTTTATATTAAATCAACAAAAGAAGGTATGAAAAGATTTTATTTTGAATTTGACATGTTTTCCATTTCACTTATCTTCTCTCATACCATACGTTCTGATTGCAGCCTTCCCTTCCTCCACTCTTCCCAGTGTCCTCTTACCTCTACTGTCCTGCAGATCCAATGCTGCTCTATGTCCCTTAGAAAAGAGCAGAGCTTCCAGAGATATCAATGGAACAGGGCATACATAACAGAATGCCACAAGATTAGACACAAATCTTCATATCAAGTTAGGACAAGGCAACTCAGTAGGAAAAAAAGGATCCCAAGAACAGGTAAAAAAAAAAAAAAGTCAGAGATACCCCAACTCCTATTACTAGGAGTCCCACAAAAACAAACAAACAAAATGCCAAAAAAAACCCTTTACTAAAAAGTCAATTTTTATTTTTTAAGAAACAATTCATTATACCCATGTGTGCATGCGAATGATAAAAATCAAAGCTTGCTGATGTTGATGTACACCCTTAATCCTAGCATTTAGGAGGCATAAACAGGTGGATCTCTTAGTTGAAGGCCAGCCTTGTCTACAAAGTAAGTTCCAGGAATGCCAAGACTACATAGAGAAACCCTGTGTCAAATAACAACAGCAACAAAAACAAATAAAAACTGAATTAAAAGAAGCACTGGTAGCCTGGATTATCAAAAGCAATCCTAGTAATAGCAGAATGGATATATGCTTAGCAGTTGTTGTCATGAATGACTCTGCACCTTAGGATCAAAAGATAAGTGGCAACCTTATTAGCATCACAGCGAAGGCAGTGGAACAGGTTACTAAGAGCAAAATGGCGAGTGTCTTCATTGGCCGACCTCACTTCTGCCAGTCCCATCCAAGCAGGGTAGACATTTTCTTCAGCTCCAGGATGAACCTAATCACCAGGCAGACATGCATTATTTGTACCTTCCTTTCCGGTATGTTTACACATGAATGCCCGTGTGTAGTGTTTATGCATATTAATTTGAATGCAGTGGTCAACTTGGATACAGTTTTTTGGGTGCCTCATACCATGCCTTTCTTTCTTTCTTTCTTTCTTTCTTTCTTTCTTTCTTTCTTTCTTTCTTTCTTTCTTTCTCCCTCTTTCTTTCTTTCTTTCTTTCTTTCTTTCTTTCTTTCTTTCTTTCTTTCTTTCTTTCTTTCATAGGTTCTCTTCCTCTTCTTTTTACCAGGGATTTGTATATCTCTCATTCCCCAGTACTGGAATTGAAAGCATAAACCACCATATCTATTTCTTCTGTGGAATCAGGGCAATAAAAAGCAAGGGAGTCTTCTATATATTGTGGATAGATGTCTTTAGTCCTAGTCTATATTCCCTATAATTTTGAGTAAAGTTTGAGAAAAATTTAGACATAAATTTTTTCAGTCAAAATCGAGACACTGACCAAATGACTGTAAGACTGCTATTCTGGTGCATTTCCTGGTATATGAGTTTCTTAGTAAGGAACCTCAGGATGCTGAAATTGCCCACAACTCCCTACTGTAAAAGCTGTTAACAAGTGGGAAACTTAAATTTAATGGTTGCAAATTAGATATTTTTTGATTCATTTCTCACTACAACAAAATACCTTTTTTTCCATGAAAAAAGGAAAAAGAAAAGAAAGAGACAGAGAGAGAACACTCACCCTGACAAGGATTCTCTTCATTTCCTCTAGAAGTTCTTCATTTTTTTCTCCACCTCTTTGACTTTCGACAGCATGGTCTCACAGGCCCCTTTAAGAGCAGCCACTGAATGCACTAGGTGTTCAAGAGGGTGGCACCAGGCTCGTGAGATGCTGATCATCACTTTCAGAAGGTCATCTGACTAATCAATCATGATTGAACATCAAGTTAAAAAACAAGTGAAATAAAACATGGTGAATACATGTAGTATTTGCACAATCATCCTGAACTACAATATCTACTTGTTTTTAATAAGTATAGAGAAAATGTTTTGGTAAATGACACACTATGAAATACATATTTTGAGCCATGTAATTACAGTTAGTTAAAATAAAAGCAAACAATAAATAAAAAATCTTTTTATTCCTGACAAGCCAAACTGATCATGTTTTATTTTCCTCTACATTCCATCATCTGCCCTCTTCATGAGGTCTTCTCTATATAGTTATTTCCCTTGTGTATGAAAACTCAAAGTTTTGTTAATGCTAGGTGTGTTTCCACAGTAACAGATTCAAATAAAAAGACACCAGCATTATCATTGGCAAATGGTCTGAATCATTTTTGTACTAAAAATAATCAAATTGTTCACTCATATCTTCCTATAAATTTTATATTATTCTAGGATGTTAAGACAACAACAAAGAAAACAACACATTCATAAGTAGACTTTTCATGTTCTATTTTACTTCCTTTACCTGGCCTCTGGTAGAGTAGCCCATTTATGAATATGTACAAGAAAAGAACATCTTTGCTTTTAACAACATTGATGTAATACCCATTGGATTTTAGACACACACACACACACTGCAATCAGTGTGTTTCCTTGCCAATATCACACATGATATTTGTCACCAATTTGAAATATTTGCTTTGATGTCTCTTAGCAACTCTACTAGTAATTATATTGTACAGTAGGGAAGAATCCAAGTAAATATTATTCTATATATGTGTAACGAACATGAAAGAAAGAAGCAGGACAAATCATGATAGCAAAACAGGTTGCTGGGAGCACTTCAGCATGATGATTAGGAATGATGCTCTGAGATGGATGAAGCACTACTTCACATTCTTGTCTGGCATGCAACTAATGGAAGGTCTGTGTAACCTTTTGGAGCTTCTCTCCCTAATCTTCCTAACGGTATCTGGTTTTACTGGACTTTTGTGAGGCCTAAATGCATCAGTATCAGCAGAGCACTTTTTGAAGTCTCTAGCTTTGAGGAAATATTCTCTCTTTCCTGCCTCTCTTCTTGCTTCATTATAATCACATTTTTTTATTAACGAGAATACCTTCTGTCTGAGTGATATCTACTATTAATAAAATAAAAGCAAACAGATTATATATATATGTATATGATATGTGTATACATCGTTGTCTAGTTTAAATTATATTGAGGTTTACTCTGGCAGGGAGTCACAGTGGAGAGATCATAACAATTACACATTACAGCTTCCAAAATAAGTAAACCTCATCAAAACAGAGGTTAGTCTGAGGCACAGGATACAGTATGAGGAGAACCTCTTGTTTAGCTGATTTTTAATTATAAGAGAAAAGAAGGCAGAGCTGTCAGGGAGGAATTAATTGCACATGCAATGAAAAAGCAAACAAAAATAGGGGAGTATTGAATCTCAGAAAGAAATAACATTCTGATTAGTTAAGAAATATGCTGCCGTGGAGGAGCCTTTATTTTAGTATTTGCATCTTTTCTACCTTTGCATGAATTTATCCATGAATATCCAACTTAGATTAAAGTAAACACAATTCTACAAGTACAGGCCTGGCTAAATAGTTGTCCCGTGGATGGATCATTTATAAATCTGCTACAATCTGAACTAGCTTAGTTTTAGCTTCTGATTTGTTGACTATAAATGCTATTGTTTTTTCACGGTTCATTTTTCTCTCTTTTATTTATTTATTTTTTGTATGTTGTAACCACTCCAATACACCTGAAATAACCTACAGCACAGTAAACCTTTGTACTGCTTCGGTTGTTTTGGTGACAACCGTAAAGGAAGATTTACTTGTGTCGGTTGGATTTGTTCATTGTCTTCTGGAGTAGCCAGGGAAGCAGTGTGACAGGTGCTGGAGTTCCTGGCTTTGTACCACAGGCTTTCAGAAAAGTTTTCATCCTGGAAATAATAAAATATTTCAATTTATTGGAGTTTCTGAATTAAATAAGTGCACCTAAGTTCATTTTATAGATATGCAGTTTATAACAAATAAGCCCTACCTAAAATTGAATAACTAAGCAAACAATCTACTTATATATTCTTCCCAATAGATTCATAATTTCATTTTTAGTATCAATTTCTAGCCACCTAACTTCTTCCACTCTTTACTATTCCCTTGTTATTTTTTGCCACTCCTGAAAATTAATTTGGAAAGAAAGCCATAGAAATTCTAACAGTCTAAAACACTAAAGATTTTGCGTGTTTTATTTATAAGGTGAGATGAATGAACATAGATTAATGTTTTAGTTAGGGTTTCTATTGCTGTGAAGAAACACCATGACCATAGCAACTCTTATAAAGGAAAACAATTAATTGGGGTGGCTTACACTTTCAGAGGCTTAGTCAATTATCATCATAGTGGGGATCATGGTGGAAGGGAATATGGAGGTATGCACGCAAACATGGTGTTGGCTACATTTAGAAGTGACCTGTGTCAATGGTTGTGGCTTGAGCATATATGAGAACTCAAATCTGACCTCCAAAGTGACACAGTTTTTCCAACAAGGCCACACCTCCTAATAGTACCACTTTATTTGGGGGTCAATTTTTTACACCACCACAACTTGCGTATCCATATTTATGAATCTGGTTTTTATTGTTGGTCTAAGAAGATATACTTGTTTTAAGTATATGTTGTGAAATTATAGTTGTTCCTCACTTACCATGAAATTTTTATGTCTGGACAATACCAAACTCATGATAAACTTGCAAGGCAACTGTATTGATGGTGTCAAAATAGATTTTGAAAATTAGAAAACAACACAAATTAGAGACAGAAGATTATATTAGCCTGATGTGGGAGTGATTTCTTATTAATAAAGAAACTGCCTAGGCCCCTTGATAGGCCAACCCTTAGGTGGGTGGAGTAAACAGAACAGAATGCTGGGAGAAAGAAGCTGAGTCAAGGAGTCGCCATGGTTCTCCCACTCCAGACAGACGCAGGTTAAGATCCTCCCTGGTAAGCCACCTTGTGGGCTACACAGAATATTAGAAGTGGGTTAGAACAATATGTAAGAGCTAGCCAATAAGAGGCTGAAACTAATAGGTCAGGCAGTGTTTAAAAGAATACAGTTTCCGTGTAATTATTTCGGGGCATAAGCTAGCCATGTGGGCAGCCGGGTGCTGGGGACACAGCCCTCCCGCTCCTACAACAATTAGCCAGAAAAATGGGAAGTCTGCAGTGAGATGGTATCTCTTAGAAATGACAGGGAAGTTATACACATGATACCACAATAAAATGACTACCTTATGAAGATCTGAACAATAATAACACTAACAGACATATAAGAACCAAGGGGTAAGGGAATCTCAGGGGTTCCCACCTCTAGACAAAGAACTACTGACAGATAAAGATGTCTGATAAAAGGGTAGATGTTTCTAGAAATGAAACCCTGAATCTATACTTAGTTATATCACACAAAGTGTTTAAAATTATGTACATAAGTAAATAACATTAAATGTACTCAGTAGGCTGTGTTTGTATGTGTATGTATGAAACAAAACAATAATCTAGCAGCTGAAGCTGTTAATCTGAGAGGGATTAAGGGGAGCAAATATGGAAGGACAGAAGAAGGAAAATGAAGGAGATAAATGAATGATACAATTATATTTTAACTAAAATAAAATATCTGGGCATATTTTAAAGAAAACATATCCAAAATGAGTAAAGATTAAAATTATTATCTAATATTAATAAATGATCAATTGAAGATTTTTCTTAAGATATTTATTAAAACATAGAATTTTTTTAACAATCATTGAATTTGTAAAATCCAAAAATGCAAGAAGTCATCCACCTCTCAAACTACGTATTGAGGCAATATAATCATGGCCTGTTTATCAGTATAATCATTGACAGTTTAACTCTTGTGACTTCATTTGCAAGAATCCTGTCTATGTGATTTGCTTTTTATAGCAGGGATATTGTGAAACTGAAAGATTATATGAAGACTATATGATGAAACCAACACTGGCAAGTGAAAAGGACAATGGAAATATATATTGCTTACAAATTTATAGACATATTGTCAAAATTACCAATTTTGTGTTGAAGTCATCTTTTTTTCCCCATGTTGATTCTGATCAGACCCTGTATCTCCATTAGAAAGAGAACACATTTCCTTTCTAAACTGGCACTCCCTATGCCATTAGAAATTTGCCCCTGGAATCTATAGACAGCCTTTCTCAGCACTGGAGGCTTAACTAGACAGGTTTTTTGTTGTTTCTTCTTTACATGGCTTCAGCTTAGTTCATTTCTATTCCATCCAAACAATTCTCTGCAATGCACTTCTCTTATGCTCCATATCCTCTGAGTGAAGAATGACCATGGAGACTGGACCCTCCATACAATATTAGCAAACCAGAGTTTCTCTCTGAGCTCACTTTTAGGACTAACTGTCATAAACTAGACTTGAGAGACAATCACTTTTTATAAAAAATTAACTAATTATATAAAATATTTGTTTAAAGAACTACCTTTACAGGTCTTTGAGAGTTCATCAAATTACACATTCTTCCTGTACGTTTTCCAAATATATGATATTTATTTTTTAACTGCAGGAAGGCATATAATTTGAACTTTTGTTTATGATATTTTCTTCTTTAATCTGTAGAATTTTTGAAGAGCCCTTTAGAGAAGAAACCAGAAGGAAATTAAGTACTTACAAATTCCTCAGACATTTGTGTGGTGAGGTTAGAGGTATATTGAGCCATGACAATAGCACGGTCAAATATTTCTTCCATGGACAACTCATTGTATCCTTCCAAGTCATGGCACATGGGCATGGGGACCACATACTCCCATAGGAGTTTTGACAGTAGCAGAAGCTGAAACATCACTGCTATAAAGAGAGAAATTACACCTGATGATTCTTTCAAATGAAGTTACACGAGTTAACCTATTTATTAAGCTCTGTCTATTCTGGGGACCCAGGGCTTCATGATTTGCTTCTATATAACTGCAGTGGGGCATAAACTTTGTTCACGGTGAAAATGTAATATTTCCCCAATAGATTTGCACATCTTAGATTTGCTCTTGAATTGTTTTCCAACTTTGCAAACAATGAAGCTCACGTTGATACTGATGCACAATATTTAGTCCTCCATATATTTTAAAAGCGTGTGAATTTATGTTCATTTTAATTTATAACAACCTCTAGGTCTGTAACTTCAGAAAGTAAATGTCTAATGTCAGCATTTTTGGACATTGATGTTACGAGGAGCACAGTTCTGTTTGCTTTGGCTTCATGCTTGTTGAGAATAGAAGCATGTTTGTTGGATTACTGAAAATAAGAAGGAAGAATGTTCTGTCATAAAAATGATGTTATAGCCTAGAGTTTCCAGCTTACAATGATAATCTTGTATATTTGCCATTTAACAAACCATTTGATGTTTTTCCTTTCAACTTGATCTGTGAGTACACAGGATCTTTGTAATTTTCATCAAACTGTATTGGTTGTACAAGGCTGGCAAGAACAAGCAATTTCCCCACAGTCCTACCAAAACTTCTGAGAGTTAGGACACCAGCACCTCAGAATTGTCGCCTCACCTTTTCCCATAGTGGACACCTATAGTGTTTCACTATGCATCTGTGTGTCAGACTTTCATGAACCTGCCTCCATGCCACCCAAGATCACTCTCGCTTATTAAAAGAAAGAACATATGCATTTGTCTTTGATTACAGACATCCTAGACAACCTTACATTCTACATATCATTACAGACAATATAGAAAACTTCATGTTATCTATTTCCCCATAATGGCTCACTCAATCAAGATATCTTTCTTTGCTCTCATATTTGTCCTTCCTCCATCTCGACGACCCCATTCCTTCAAGTTCCCCACAACTCTTCCCTTCTCCCCTCCTCTTCCCCTTCTCCCCTTCCTTCTACCCCACCTACATGTTAGATGTATTAGTAGAGAGGGCCTTGGACTTTCCTCAAAGCAAAGTGCCTTACCCTCTCTTAGGATTAGAGGGTGTTGGGGTGGGAGGGTGTGTGGCGGGAATAGGAGGAAGGGAGGCAGTGGGAATTTGGATTAGTATTTTTAAAAAAATCTAATTTAAAAAAGATAAAGTAAAATAACAAATAATTTTGTTTTACTTTCCTTAAAATAAATTCTGGTTGTCATCAATCCATTTTTCATTAAAATACAATCTACAAAAAACAGTGATTTATTAACACACATGCTTGATTATCTGGTTGTTACAAGACTTGACTTGTAATTAATTAATTAAAGACTTAAATCTCCCATCATTGCCCACATTAGGTTTTATAACTGAGCATTTATTCAGGTTCACTCAAGTAACCAAACAGATTTAAGAGACTCTGAAATTAAAAGATCATATCTTTTACCTTCTTCAGTTGAGAAAATTGCTTCATTGAATCTTGTGTTCTCAGTAAAGTCTGATTTCTCAATTAGGAAGCTGGTCACTTTTAGCAATATCTTGTTCGGGAGGGTATTCAAGAACATTTTCCTTTAAATATTTGTAAAAAATCCCCCCTCTTATCCTCATGTCAATTTAGAGCATATCAAATTTCTCAGAGCATTATCATGCTTCTCTACCACAGGGAGCATTCTCGAAGAGAACCACTGTCCTCAAAGATTATCATGAAATTTCATTCTAGAAAGTTATTCTCCATTCTCTTGTGTTTGGTGTCTGCATGTGAAGCATGAATCAATTTCAATTTACAACAGATACAGCACCAACGGCAACAAAGAATTGTGAGAACTATCCAAAATGCATCTATAAATCTTACTCAGAGGAAGATGAATGGAAGTGCTACATACGGGAACATCGTTGACACAGAGATGGCTGCATCTCTGAGAAGTGGCTCCTCGGTCTCCTCAGCAATTCCAGAAAGCTGCTTCACCTGAGTTCTGCCTCAACCGAACACTCCTTTCTATATATACAGACAGCCGGCAAAGATGAGCAAAGATGAGCGGCAGAGGGAAGCAATATATCTAGCTCAGGGTGTAATCATCTGTTCCTCAAGGAGTATTTACATCCTCTTTAGTATTACCATACCCTACCTTTCTAAACAGTTTTGGTTTTGGCCATAATGTTTCTATCGTTCAAATTATTTTGTAAGTCATCAATGTTATCTCTGTCCAGAGATGACTCATATTTTGTCTGGCAGGTGAAACAACCTTATTCCTTATTATCTTTCCCTTATTCCAAGGTCTTATGTTCTTCCTGTCACGTCTTCTCTAAAGTTACCTAAGTTTTCATAAGGTTGTAAGTGCGCATGATTTTTTTTTCCAGTATTGGGCCACCATGTTGATATCATAGTCAATTATTTTGGGCATTTTATCCATAAATCTTTCCCCAGTAATCAGCAAACATTGTAAAGTGTTACCAAAAAGTCAATGAAAGTTTACATAATCTATAGGATGAAAAGAATAAATATTTAGAAAGCACATTGACAGGCATATCCATTTCTCAAAATTCTGATTATAGTAGCATTGTTGGCACCTATATTTTCTTGGGCACATGTGCCATCCCCTTTTCTTTATTGTTGATGTCTTTTAAGCTATGGCTATCTTATCAACAATTGCTACTTTACAGATACCAGCAGTGGTTCAGCCACAAGAGCCCACAGCCTGAGGAAATACTGTTTCCTCAGGCACCAACTCTTTTAAAACTACAAAAGAAATTTATCTAAATCTCAGCCCCTCTAAAGAACTTAAGACTCAATGATTGAAATTGAAGCATGATTAATAGAAACCCAGAGTCACACAATGGGGTTCAACTTGAAGACCACAAAATCAAAGCAGCCAGCCACTGGCTCTTACCTCTACCTTAGTCAGCAAATTCAGTGGTCAGTGGCCCAAATCAACTGTCTCACAAATGAGCCAACTGGTCATTCATATGCACTATTGTTTTATATAAAACTAGCAAATATTCCCGATAGAACATCCCCATTGTCTCAGCTGGCCTGGGTCTTAAAAAGCATGCGATAAACCGGACTCGCTGAACATGGAGGACAATGAGGACTACTGAGAACTCAAGAACAATGGCAATGGGTTTTTGATCCTACAGCACGTACTGGCTTCATGGGAGCCTAGGCAGTTTGGATGCTCACCTTACTAGACCTGGATGGATGTGGGTGGTCTTTGACTTCTCACAGGGCAGGGAACCCTGATTGGTTTTTGGGATGGCGAGGGAGGGGGACTTGATCGGGGGAAGGGTAGGGAAATGGGAGGCGGTGGTGGGGAGGAGGCAGAAATCTTTAATAAATAAATAAATAAAATTGAAAAAAAACTAGCAAATATTAAAATATAGGCACAATGAAGAAAATTATACATTCTAAATCACAATGTCCCCTGTAGAGATGATATCTTGTCTTCAGCAACAAACTTTTAACAGTTACTGAAGTCAGACAATGACTCAGTGTCTCTTTTAATGTCAGTATCAGTGACAAAAACAATGGAATTTTGATCTGCTCAGTCTGTGATCAACATCAGAAAAATATCACAGTGCCATCTCTGATTTACATTGCTTATTGCCGTGTCTGCTAGCCAATGTCTTGGTAATGAAATTGAAGTGCTGAGAGAATCTCATGGACAGTTTACAGGAAATATGTATAGCCTGTGGAGGAAAATGCAGGCCAAGCGGTGACAGCAAAATCTATTACCTGAATCTTTTCTGCCAAGGGATTAGGAATGAAGGTTTCAGGTGACTAAATCTCAGATTCATATTCTACTTAGGATTCATGTGATGCTATCTTTATAAGCTCTATAAAGAGCTGAAGCCTCAATTCTGTATGGTCCTAAGAATACCTCACATTAGTGAACTTTTATAAGGATTAAATGAATTGGTGCCCATGGACTGAATTTTGAGGATTCTAGATAAGTATATCTGAGCAAATGCTAATCTCTTCCTCTACCTCTTCTTCCTTCATTTACCACTATTATAAACTCACACTTTAATCATGAGAATAGTTTGCTTTTTCCTCTGCAAACAAATATTAATTAAAATAGTTTCTGGGTTAGTAATGAGGGTTTTTGTTCATGCCCTCTTTTAGCCCTGAGAGTCCATATGGCTTAGAATGTGCATTCTGCCACAGTCTCTGTGAGTTAATATGTTTATCAGCCCTGTTGTGTATCGAAGGCCTTTTTTTTTTTTATTTTATTTTTTTTTTTTACTGTCACTGGCTCTTAAATGTTTTCTACTTCTTCTTTTGCAATGTTCCCAAAGCCAAGAAAGGAGGGACTTGATGAGAAATGGCTCAGTGGAAATATGATCCAGCTTCTTTTTCCAGGAACCAAACGGAGCTTTAGAGCCAGCCATACGTATAAATTCCACGGAATATAATACCATCTTCTGACCTCCTCAGGCATTAAGCACACATGTGGTGGACAGATATACCTGTGACGCATGCAAGCCAAAAAGCTCATACATGTAAATCAAATTAAATTAAACTCAAAATCAGATTTCCTAGTAGACTTAATGCCAACTCCACAGGTAGAAATAAGGGTTGTTGTTGGGAATTCAGGCAACACCTGTGAGTAAGCTATTCCAGGTCTAAATAAAAAAATGAATTCCAATTGCCTTAGTAAGTGAATATGATGTGGAAGCTAAGATACTTATCAACATTTGAATTTATGAGAATAGATTATTACTGCAGTCAAGTAAACAACTTTAAGATGTAGCCAATATACATTTGAGTGATCTATGCTAGTATTGTTTGTGGTGCTTTAGTTTCCAGTTGGAGAGGTCTGCAATGATCCTGCATCCGTTAGAGGGAAGCATCCTGTGAATGAATGTTTTCTGCAATAGTGGACTTTCAGGATGAGGGGACCAGAGAATGGACTAAAACACACCACCAGTGTGG